TTCCTTTCCTTTCCTTTCCTTTCCTTTCCTTTCCTTTCCTTTCCTTTCCTTTCCTTTCCGTCCCGTCCCGTCCCGTCCCGTCCCGTCCCGTCCCGTCTTTGGCCTTGTCATGGTATCAGAAGGGTCCAAAAGAATGCACAGTTTAGTAACTTTTGGGGGCATAGTTTCAAATCGCTTACTGGGTCAATTTACAGCACCATCAATAACATATCATGGTGCCCATTTCCCTCCATTGTTTCTCATTTTCCTTTTTAGTCAGTTTCACCAACCCAGTGGGCCTGAGTTGGAACCTCAGAGTTAACAGCTTATTCGTTCAGAGTACATGAAAGATAGTAATGTGGAAAAAAGTTTGCAAAGGGTCTTAAATCGAAGTCAGCCGAAGAGTTTGTAGTTATGGTACATGAGGCAATAGGGAGTTACTGAAGGTGGTTTAAAAAAGAAAAAATTAACAGGAGAAGCCTATAGCCAGAGCTGTGCATTAATTAGGAGGTGTAGCTATATTTTCCAAGAAGCCATTTCTGATAACCCCTCCCACCAAAAATGATCCATCTCTCCTCAGATTTTCCCATAGTACTTTGTCTGAAGTTATCTCTTTTGCCCCTAACACCTCTATTACATTCTTCTTTATATCATACTTATTTGGGTCTATACCATATTCTTCCTTTAGAACATAAGCTCCCTGAGGACAGATTGTCTTTCTTATTTTTCTTTCTTTTTCTCTTTTTTTCAAGCAGTAAGTAAAAGCAATGTTTGATACCATAGTAGATGGTTAATAGATATCTGTTAAATTGATTGGAATTGAATTCCTTCAAAAACTAGGCCTCCATCTAAAGGAGAGGCTATTTCTATCATGTTTTTCTCTTCCTCCGTATTTTTTCTTGTTGCAAGGTCCCATGGAGGCCCTGGCAGGCAGTAGAATTACAAAGTCCTCTAGATTTCCCTGTCATCAGTTCCAGGAAGGCTGCTGCATGTATGGGTTGGGTCCCCACATATATGAGATTCCTATGTGTTGTGTTAAGTTGTGGCTTGAGAAAGGTAGCATGTGGTTTGTCATTATTAATGTCCTAGGCATTTGCTGGGGTACTGAACTTGGGATAATATGGATCTGCTTAGATCCTGCCTAGCGTGGTGTCTCATTTTTTGTCTAGCTGCTGCTCTGGGCACAAGAGCAGGGCATGACTGTGCTGCCAGGACCCCAGGGCAGCAACCACAAGGCCATGGTGCTCTTTGTGAGTTGGCTGGCAGAGACTAAGGTGATAGTCCTGTCCTTCCTAAAGGGGTCCTGGTGCTACAGATAACAAAGAGTAAGGCCTTCAGAATTATTTTCAGTGTCCACCTGGATTTTTTTGGTCAGGTTACTGCTGCCACCAAGAGTGGACCATGCTTGTGATTACCTCCTATACTTTGGGGACTGGGAGAGGGGCTGCTACCTGGGTGAAAAGCAGAGGCAGACCCACCTAAGATTTCTATTCCCACATGAGGGACAATTTACCTCCAGCACAGTCATTGTACTGGACAGAAGTTGTACTGGACAGAAATTGTACTCATTGAGGGCGTCTTCTTTTGGTTAGTCAGTAAGCATTTATTGAGTGCTTACTGTGTACCAGTCACTATGCTAAGGCTGGAGATCAAAGAAAGACAGAAAACAGTCCCTCTCCTCAAGAAGCTCAGTGAGTCAGCAAGTCAGTAAATATTAAGCACCTCCTGTGTACCAGGGACTGTGCTAAGTGCGGGGGACACAAAGATTTAGACAATTCCTGCCCTCAAGGAGCTCACAGCCTAATGGGGGAGACAAGAGGCAAACAAATATGTCTCACCAAGCTATGTACAGAATAAACAGGAAATACTTTTAATTGAATTTAAATTAATTTAATTAAAGTTAATTTAACCAGAATTAATTTAATTAAGAAATGTCAAGCTGACCTAACTGGCCTCTAACCCGTGGATGGCCAGAGCTGAACAGAGCTGGCTAGAGACAGGAAAGTCAGAAACTGAAGTTTAATTTCAAAGTGAGGGAGATGGCTTGCTGACAAGGAGGGGAATTAGACACATGTGCTGGGCCCCTACCCCTAGTGGTGGGACCCGAGTTAGTGTGGGTAGACCTCAGTACTTACACCCAGAGCTATGAAGTGAGCTGTAGCCCTAACAATGAGGGGTAACAGCAACAATGTGACGAGTTTGATTCACAGCAGGGCTTCATGGCCGGAACTTGTCCCAGCTGATCCGGTGCTTGTCTGAGCTCTTCTGAGAATACCTGGTTCTGGTCAAAGCAATACAGTAATTATGTGGGATTTTTCCAGAGGGTGAGCCCAAAGGATTGTTGTTATGCCAGGCTCAGGGCACAGCCTGCTTGCTGGGCCTTAGCTCTGGAAGACAGGGTGTCTCCTAATATCTCGACATGATGACATCCCTAGAGTTTGGGGGTTAGCCAATGGTTTAGATCACTGGGGGTATCTGATTTAATGAACTCCTATGCCATGTTTAAATTTGATAGGCCAAATGACTTGATCAATCTGAGGCCTTTCAGGTCTTGGATCTTAGGGGTCACTGCTTGGTGTGGTTCATGGCTGAACTGAGCTCAGTTCAGCTTAGATCCTTAGAAAGGGCCCAGAGCCCTTGGATGGTGGTACGGGTGCTGCATGTTGTCTGTAGAGGGGCCATAATATTCAAACCAGCTCTTCTGCTCCCCGCCTTTCCTCTCCTCTTTACTTCCATCCTCCTCCCCTTCTCCTCCCCTCCCCTCCCTTCTGCTCCCCTTCCCTCCTTTGTGCTCCCCTCTCCCTCTCTCCTTTCCTCCCCTCCCCTCTGGGGCCAAAGGTTTCCCCCATTTCAGGTTGAAAAGACATCTGGAAAACTTGAGGCTGAAATCTGACCCTTTACCAGCACAAATAAGTGAGGACTTGTCATTCCTGAGTGTGACCCTGTGTTCTTTCCTTTTAGCCAGGAAGACCAAAAAACAGGTGTTTGTCAGCTACAATCTTCAAAACACAGACAGCAACTTCATGCTGCTCATAGAAAACAGGATCAAGGAAGAAATGGAGGCTTTTCCAGAAAAGTTTTAGCCCGAAAAAGAGCCCGGTAGCATCTGATGATTTGTAATTTATGTACATTAAACAGAATAAATTGAGTGTATTTCACAGTACGTCTAACATGGAGTCGGTGTGTTTGAGTTTTGCTTTTTAAAATTAACCTTACAACCCTTCCCTTGCACAGCTGGGTGGCTCAGTGGGTAGAATCCTCCAGTCTGGAGTCAGGAAGAATCATCTTCATGAGTTCAAATCCAGCCTTAGACACTTACTAGCTGTGTGACCCTGGGCAAGTCACTTCACCCTGTTTGCTTCAGTTTCCTAATCTCTAATATGAGCTGGAGAAAGAAATGGCAAACTATTCCAGTATCTCTGCCAAGAAAACCCCAAATGGACTCATGAAGAGTCATGGAGGACTGAACCACAACTTCCTTCATCCATTTTTTTTACATTCATGATCAGAATGGTTTGCTTCCTCATTTTCATCTCTTCCATGCCTTCCTCTAACTCCTTTCTTCTTTTCTTTCACTTCTTCCTGTAACTTTTCTTCTTCAGCCTTTGACTTTTTACCTTCTGATTAGCAGCGAATTCAGCTTCTTATATAAAGGCCTGCCACATCTTTCTCTCAGATTTTTCAGCCAGCCATCTCCTAAGCAGATATTACAAGTCATGTGGATTTAGTTTGATTTCCTGGTCCTGTATCTGCTGTGTGTTAGGATCAACTCTTTGCGTTCTGGGGGATAATTTTTTTTTAAAGTTTAGCTCTGATTTTATTGAATCAGTACCAGTGGGAACCTGGTTTCTCTCACTTGAGGCATATCTATAATTATGCTCTGAGAGTTGCCTGGGGCGAAGAGACATTAAGTGAGCTGCCTGTATGTCACTATGTATGTGTCAGGCATGGAATTCCTGATTCCACAACTGCCTTCTATGCCTCTCTCCATGTGTTATGTTTAGTTCCCTGGAAGACATTTCATACATTGATAATAATTTTACATTAAGCTGTTAGGAAATGACCCAGTTGATGGTGGAAGGAAACATAGTTTGGGCCTATGAATTTTTGTGAGAAGTTTCAGTTCTAACATAATACTCAGTTTTGCTAGACCCCTGAGCAAAGGTATCCAATCTCCACATGCCTCAGTTTTAAACTGAGATGTTTGTAGCCTGGAAAGGAAAGTAGTGTATTTCTATTGTCCTAGAAAAAAGTAGCCCTTTGCATAAAGCTTTAAAAGTTTAAACAAAAAGTTTTTTTAAAAAAAAGGGCAGGACTGTTGAGGAAAGATAGTTAATAAATACTTTCTTTAAAAAAGGACATTTTCGGGGCAGCTAGGTGGCTCAGTGGATAGAGCTCCAGCCGTGGAGTCAGGAGGACATGAGTTCAAATCCAGCCTCAGATCAACACTTGACACTTTATTAGCCGTGTGACCCTGGGCAAGTCACTTAACCCCAGTTGCCTAAAGAAAAAAAAAAAAAGGACATTTTTCTAGGTTAAAAAAATTGATCTACATCCTAAGAGTGAGCTTTGAATCACTTCTGAGGCATTTCTGTTACATCCCTGTACTGGAGGGTAGTTCTTATTCCTTACCTTAATTCTGTATTAGTCTTAGGTTGAATGAGATTGGGCCATGCAGTAGAATGACCACATCACAACCACTCCCTCCCCAACAAAACAACTCTAAACTTTCATTATTAAATTGTAAGCAGCTATAAAACCAATTAGTGGTCTGAGTACAGCATCGGACTGGAATTATTTGTTGTCAGATGTAGATAACAGTGCTGGCTAATTCCTCATGAAGAATGGGAGTCCACACCAGGACCCCGCTTCCCAGGGCTGGAATAAGGACTAAGGCATATTGATATTTTGGGATTACTTAGTTTAAGGATCCATGATTTCATTAATGTGTGGGCAGTCCCTTCAGTGCTGCAATGGGAAACCCCACTTTGATGATGGATATAGAAGTAGAATGAACCTAAGTCATTAAATTTTTTTTTCTATAGCTGAGGAAATGGGCTCAGAGGTAAGTCATTTGGTTATACAGTTGCAAATAGACGGTCTTCATAAGTTTCTCTGGCAGAAGAAAATTCACCTGTTGTCTCTTTCTCTATTCAAAATGATTTGGCCTGGTCCTTACATGACAGATAGACGTTGAATTTATCTATGTCTATGGTAGGAACTTTGAGACCCCAACCCCAGGTGGCTCTGGAATAGCTTTTATACATCTAATGTCACCTTTCCTGGACTAGGAACTCAGTGGAGTACCAATGCAAATCGGCACCTTTTTTCCCCACTTGTCTCAAAGCTAATAAAAATAGTATACATTTGCTAAGTTTCATGGCAATGTCCCGTATTTCATATCAAGTAGGAGCCAAGAAAGACATTCCATAGGAGCTCTGGTAATGGGGCAACTTTTTTTTGTGTTTTTATTTCTGTACATTCACATACAAATTTCTCAGTAGATACAACAGATGTAACATCATGCAGACACTTAGCTAGTAAGACAGTTTCAGTACTTGATTTAAGCTTGTGCTGTAGGTAAGCACCACCAGCCTAATCATGATCAAAACGTACAGTAACAATTCTTTAATTAGAGCCTCATCAGAAATGGAGGGAGTTGGGGCAGGGGAAAGGAATAGGGGAGAGGAGTGAGGGAAGGAAGAAAGGAAGGAAAGCTTATCCACTAGACATTACACTGTATTCCTTTCCCAAAACATTTTATACACTACATTAAAATGAGGTTTTGTCTAAAAAAAAAAAGCAACAATAGCAGTTGAAGTGCAGGATGCCATCCAGTGTGAACCATCCAGAGGCTACAGGTGATGTGACATTCAAAGCCCATTTCATGGCACTCCTGCTTCCAGTTTTGTGACTTCAGCTTGGCTCTGGGAAGCATCAGGGTTTAAGTGGGATACTTCCTTTTGTGTGTCATTAGCTTTTCCTGCTCAGTGACTGACTAAGCCAACCACTCCATCCCCTTTCCAATTGCCAGTGTGTCAATGGCCAACCAGCCTCTTGGAAGATAAAAACAGACTATGGTGCTTGATAGCACAAAGCATCCTGGAGAACTTGGAGGTGGGATGGGTGGGATGGCTCGTGGGTGATGGGGATGGGGAGGACGGGGATGAAAGGCTTTGTGCGTTAATCCTTGGAAAAGGGAGACAAAGGAGATAAGACAGAGCCCCCTGGTGGTTGAAGATCTAACTAATGAGGTTTCAGAATGAAATGGATTTACACGTAGGTAGCTGGCAAGTACATCTTTGAATGCTCTCTAGAGGGGAGAGGGGAAAAGGAGGCTGACTGGAAGCAGCGCGAGTCGCCTGAGAAAAGCGTTTCCTTTGTGTCAACCATGAAGGAAACAGGATTGAGTAGTTTTCAAGTTTGACAGACAAGTCATTAAGTAGCTGCCAGAGCACCCATCTGTACACAGAGCAGGGCAGACAAGATTCAGGGCACAGAGGCCCTTTTCTCCATCCCTGCTGCCTCACTTGGTACCTTCCTTTTCTGGGCTCTCTCCATAGAGAGGTTCTTCTGATTTGACTACATTCAGTGAAAATGTTTGGCTGGGACCGAAAACTTTTCCCAGCTGACGATGCCACCAAAAGGAGGAGTTAAACCTGGCCCTTTAACCCTGGGTGAGTTTTGAGAGGGATGTGCCAACAGAATCAGACAGAGGGACACCTTGCTCACCAGGTTCCAAGCAAGATAATGCCATTATAGTCAAACAGACTGGGCAAAAAAAATCAAAATCAAAATCCCTCCTCTCCTCCTTCCTTCTCCCTCATCCCCCGGCCTCTAAAGCTAAGAACCAGGACTTTATTTTTAACTCCGGTCACTTTTTAATTCACGTCATTAATCCATCCTGTTGTTTGATATGTTCTAGTGTTTTTTTTTTCTTTCTGTTCATTGGCCCTGTTGTTGGATGTTGTCTGTTGTTATTGTTTTTCTACGTTAAGAGAGTAGAGACCCTGAAACAAAAAGGGTTCTGTAAAGCACTGTGCGTGACTCCTAGAGATGACAGACAGCTCAGGAGCATGGACAGCTTTAATACGTGTTATTTGAAAAAATCCACGGGATTCAGACCGCAGTTTCAAGAATGCTCATAGATACCGTTAACTAAAAAGCTGTTACAGTAAATGGATTGCAAGGAGTACCAGCTGTGTGTGTGTGTGTGTGTGTGTGTGTATATTTGTGTGTGTGTGTATATGCGAATTTGTGCACACATGAATAGGTGCCCAGTTGTCCAGTCTGTGGTCCAAAGAGCCCGTGCTGACCGCCCCTCCCCTCATGTGTCTGATGCTCTCGCTTCAAGGCCACATCTGTATTTTTCATCTACTTACATGGATTTTGTTGCCATGTGATTTTGTTGCAAGTACTCTATAAAAGGCAAAAGGTATTTCACAAGTTTGGCACGTGAAGACTGCACACATCTAAAGAAAGGCCTTTTTCAAGGTGAATGCAGACTGAAAATTTGCAACATGGAACAAAGGAGACCCAACTTTAAGTCATACGAGCAACTACAGAGGGTAAGAACAGTCATACAATGCAATGGTAGCTGAACTGAAGCCAGCTGTGTAACAGCAGCCTGTTTCCCCATTGATTGTTTATTACTGGGTTGCTTTTAAAGTCCGTCTTCACCTGCTCCAGTGTTTCTTAGGAAGAGTCTTTTTAGAACCCAGATGTGTATCCTGGTTCTCCACGGCGGCAGCAGGTTTTTATGTTTTGGACATGGTTTAGAAAACACTCCTACTTTGGTTTGCCTTCTTCATTCCAATAATCTCATCTCTTCAATTAACACCCCACCCCAGTGCTGACGCCCCCCGGCATTGAGGAACAGGTCACTCAACTGCTACCTACTGCGACAACGTTGTGCCACTGTTAGGAGGACCAAGGTCGATGGAGACAGCAGGCACATAGATGAGGTAAGGAGCTAGGATGGGGAAACAGAGGACACATTAACACCTTTTCTGGGCTCTTCAACACCACGCTACATAGCAGGTGGCAGGTACATGGCTGCCTGATACACAGGACCCATCCTGGCACTTAGACCATTGGAAGATCTAACTTTGCCCCAGGACAAAGACATATATAACACACGGTGTCGACTAGGACAGAAAAAACTTCTTGCTCAGGAAAAAAGCCTTGAGCTTGATCCTTCTCTGAGCTTGACCAAGTAAAAGCCAAAGGTTGTCAGTAGTTAGGCATCTGTGGAACTGTGTGGAAATGGGGTCTACTGACTCCATTTAATTAATTAATTGCTTGGTTAATTGCTTGCTGTTACTACAAAGGGGCGTAACATCTGAGTCCCCTAAAAGTTCCTTTTTTAGTGGGCTAAAATAGGATATAAGATTTTAGTGACTAATGTTAACATTATTGAGGAAGCCTTCTCACAAGACTGCCATGTCCATCCCTACTCTGGGGATGGCTTCAAATGACAGAAGGCCAATGAATCTGTGGATGAATTCTGGGAAGGTCCAAAATGACCTCCAAATGCACACAATAGTTAAAATTACCCATGAGACTTTTTTTTGGAGGGGAGCACAGAATTAAAATCCAGCGTTAATTTTTTAAAAAAGTATTTTGTTTTTATCGTTTTGTAGGATTTCCTTTTTCTGTCCTCTCTCTCATTCTCTTTCCTTTTTTTTTTTTGGAAGGGTTTGGATAGAAAACAGACTGATTTGAGGTTAATCTCTCTTTCCTGCCCTGCTTGTGCCCTGATAAGCAGTGAAGTGGACGAAAAGACTGAGAGAAACAGAGGACCTGGAGAATAACCCACATGTCAGAAAGAGTCGATAGTAAAATATAAGCAAGTGTTTTCCTCAAGGGTCTGTGCTCTCAACATGTATACCTGGTAAGGTTTTTGTACCGCCTCCCTCTATTCATTTACCATCATTGTGGTCACTTTTCGGTATCATTTGCTGAATAGAAAGTAGCCATTCTTCTTTCAAGTAGAGTCTGCAGCGGGTGCTGCTAATGGACTAGGGAGATTTTAGCTGAAAGGCATCTGGGTAGGGGGATGAGTCTCAAGTTCTTACGCTGTGTCCTGCCTCGGTACACCTATTATTGATTTATCCACTTCATTAGGCAGCCCTGGCATCAGAAAACTGGATCCACAGCCATTTTGGGTTTTCTTCATTTGGAATGAAATGCTTAGGATTTTTCCCAAAGGAGCTTCAAACATCGTTATTCAATACAAAAGAAGACCCACATACCTGCTTTATTGGGATTTGTGAACTGCTTAATCTAATTGTGAAATGGGAAGGTCTTACCTTACATGTAGAGAATGACATCTGACTTGTTTTAAACCACATACAGACACACCATCAAAACCTAATGGATTCACAACAGCATCATTTGCTTATACCCACAGGCAGTTTGAGGGTTTAGGGACAGGAAGAAATCACTTTTTGCTCTCCTGGGTCATAGTGTGTTCATCTTCTATAGAAAAGATGCCTCTTTCAGGTTTGGATTTTTTTTTTTTTGCTTTGCTTCTTAAGGTCTCTTTCTTGGAATGGCTGTACCTCTCCATAAGAGAAGGTTCATTTTAATTTGTGATTAATGAGAGGAAAAGGGAATAAAGTGCTTCTTGTAAAAATGACCAAAATAAATACAAACATTTAATGGCAGAAAAAGAAGATCTTTGAAGGTATCTTTCCAGCCAGTTTCTTCCCTCAAATACATCATCCTGATGCTTTCCAGTTGGCCGAAATTTCCTCACCCCGGGTGAAAGTCTCCTGGGATTTAAGTGGCTTTAGCAGCAGATCTGACCTTTCCTTTCCAAGCTGGCCATACCTGCCATCGTTACAGGTCTGTAAAACCTGTGCCAGACAAAAAGAGAACCTGACCCGAAAAGGGCTCCCCTCCTGAAGTGACCAAACCAGCCCAGTTACATGGACTTCATCCCATTTGCTGTGGCATTTTCCGGCAGCCCGTCCCCCATGGCGGCCACGTCGTGGAGGCCGGAGTAATCCTTGAGTTCTGAGTTTGTGAGCAGGAGGGGCTGCTCTCCCTTCTTGTGGGGCAGGAGGGGCTGCCGCGTGTAATGTTCCCCATTGAGGATGTTCTCTGGCAGGTTCTGGTTCTTGCTCTCTGGCAGGAGGAGGATGCAGATGATGCAGATGAGGGTACAGCAGGCAAAGATGATGTGGTGGAGGAAGTAGCCCTTCTGGTTGTGCAGCTCTATGATCGGTGCAGTCAGCATTCCGAAGCCAGCGCTGGCCAGCACCAGGCCCAAGCCTCCACACCTGCTCAAGGGACGGGAGACAAGAGAAGAAGTTTCAGAAGGAAATGATCTTTGGGTCATAGAAAGAGCTTGTGTGGCTGACCTATGGCTTTTCTGGAAGTGTAGGTCTCCCATGTCAACCCCCTTTCCCCCTAACACAAGTGGATCTCTATCACCTCCAGGATCAAGCACAGAACCCTCTGTTGGGCATTCAAAGCCCTTCACGATCTAGTCTTCTCCTACTTTTCTAGTCTTTGTACAACTTAACTCCCCCCTACCCTCAGTATTCTCTTCAGTCTAGAGACATTGGGCTCCTTGCTGTTCCTCAAACAACACATTCCCATCTGCATCTTTGGGCACTTTCACTATCTGTTCCCCCAAGCCTAGAATGCTAGCTCTCCTTATCTCTGCCTCCTGGCTTCCTTCAAGTCCTAGACAAAATCCCACCTTCTACAGGAAGTCTTTCCAGGTCCCTCTCAATTCTCCTGTCTTTCCTCTGCTGATTATGTTCCAAATATCCTGTATATAACTGGTCTATCCATAGTTTGCCACAGAACATTCCAACTTCTCACCAAACCATCCACTGAGATTGGGAGCTTTCCCAACTCTTAATCCACTGTTGGTGGCTTGGGTATTGGAGCCCAAGTATTGGGCTTCCAACTAGGGCTACTCTCACTGATGCATTCAATAACCATTCTCTGGCACATTACAGAACAGATCTGCACTTATTTTTAAAAAAATTCCTGTGCTAATATCCCCGATGTGGTATAATGAAAAGAGCATTAGACTTGGATTCAGAAAACTTAGGCTCTAATCCCATCTGTGAGTGACACTCAAGTGACATTAAGCAAGGCAAAACCCAGTTTCTTAATCTGTAAAAGGGGTATAATAATACACAGGGTAGTAATGAGGAAACTGCTATACAGATATGCCCTCTTATAAGCTAGTCTTTATTAGGCACCTACTGTATGCATAGGACTATGTTGATACTGGGAGGGATCTTATACAGCTTAGATAAGACATGATCTCTGCCCTCAAGGAAACTTTTTACAGTCTAGTAAGGGGATATGATAATGACACAATCATAATACAAAATAACGTGATTAGTCAGAGGTATATGCAAAGTGCTTTCTGTGGGGATGGGGGATATTATTCCCAAGAAGAGGAGATCAGGGAAGGCTTGCATGGAAGAGATGGCATTTGAAATGGATTTTTAAGAAACAGAAGCACTAAGCCCAGGAGGAAAATAAGTGAATTGAGGCTCACTAAGGGTGACTTTCCCACAGGCACAGCACTACTGAGTATCAGAGGCAGAATTTGAACTCAGGTCTCCTGACACTAAATCCAACACTCTAGTCACTCCATCGTGTCCCAGGGACTGAATATGAGGATTCAAGACGAAGACAAGGTCACATCAGGGAAAGAAGAAAGGGGGAGAGAAAGCATAGGTCCATGGGGAGGGAAAGGGGAGTTCCCATGACTCCTTGCATGGACATTCATATGCCATAGAAATCAATATCACAGAAAAAACAAACAAACAAACAAACACGAGTCCAAATTTTACATATGTCTTTGCAACAGCTTTGTAAGTCCAGGGCAGGCGCAAGGGAGAAGAGTGCAAGGCCAGGAATAGATTTGGGGATGAGGAGACGGGGTAGTTGTCATTACTAGCCTGGATGGGTAGAGAGGTGGATGGGACCTGAGAAGCAGGCAGTAATAACAGCAAGATGGAAGGGAGCCTCCCATGTTGTTAAAAGATTATTTTTAGAAGTTCAAGATGTACTTCTTCAAGTGGGCCGGCAAAGTGATACTCTTTGTCTGTAAGGCACAGTTGGATAATATTCAATGCAAAGGGGTGTGTGTAACCATTATTAAAATGGAAAAAGCGTTAATGTGAGTTGTAAGTATAAGGTGGAAATTATTGAGAGTTAGTAGGAAAACCATTTATTTGTAGTAATTATCATGAAATCCCTGTTGTTGCAGTATGTGCAGATAGGGAGCACTTACATAGGAAAAGCTGCTCCAATTTTCACTTAACTCGTCTCTCTATACCCTTCCCCATCGCCCCCCCCCCCCCCCCCCCCATATACAGTGTAGACAGAAGCCCATGGAATGTGGTAGGCTGCAGTGCAGAAAATCCATATAGGATACAGGGGCTGGTGTATAGGAGTCTGTGTCCCAGGGATAATTTTTACAAAGCAAGGCTTTGTGCAAAAGTTAAAAAGGAAAAACCAAAAATTTTTTGGGGGGGAATTATTTTCTTAGAGGGACATTTTGCTACAATAAAAACTTAAAGTCCTATATCACTATTATAAAACTAGGTACCCCTCCAGCCCAAGCCTTCTGACTAAATTCCACAAGCTATTTCTATGTGTGCTGTTCTCCTGGGTAAGTAATTTAATCTCTATCAGGCTTCACTTTCCTTATCTGAAAAACAAGAGGATTGAACGTGATGAGTTCTAAGGTTCTCTTCTGGCTCTATGATCCTATGTTACCTACCTTGTGGCAGGTAAGGTCATTTGGTTAATTAAATGAATGGGCAGATTAAATCTGGAAGCTCAAAATTAAATTCTGACTAATTCAATGGATAAACAACACTCCCACCTAAAACAGACACTTCTGATAGATATGGCTACTTCCATAAGCTCAGGATATGATGCCTCTGTGACGTACCACATGCCTGAAAAAACAGATTCATCATCTGTGAGGCCCCTGATGATAATAATAATAATAGTAAATAAATAAAACTAGCATTTATCTAGAGCTTAACACCTTAATACACGTTATCTCATTTTGTCCTTGTAACAACCCAGGAAGGTAAGTGCTATTATTATCCCCATTTTGCAGAGGAAATTGATACAGACAGAAGTTAGGATCTTGACCAGAGTCACACTGTTGACTAAGTGTCTTGAGAAGATTAAGACTGATCCTGTATCATTTTCTTATTGATCCTATTTATAAATAACTGCTCTGGTCCTGTAACTTAAGTCAGTTCTTTTTCTCTGAACTTAGTTGGGAGTTCAGCTGGCCTATAATGGATTAAATTTTAAAAATCCAGCTCTTCTCACCTCAAGGAATTTTGTTACCCTTGGGGAATGTGTATGAAAGAAAGGGAATTGGGCGTGATATCTTTACTCCACCCAGCTATCTTTCAAGGATGTCCAAAAGTCTGGGCTGCTATCTCATACCTGCATTCAGACAATGAGTCTCATGAGAGAAGAAGGGGGATCATTGCTAGCTCCCATGACTAACTTCCAATCAATTATGTTGTTTCCTGCACCTCAGCTCTATAACCAATCACGTTGCCCTCAATCTCACGATGTCATCTACCCTGTTCATTGTTCTCTCCTTCCCAAAACCTATAAAAGGGGAACTGTCCTTTTGCTTGGGGTTTTTGGCATTAAAGAAGGTAATCCACTGACCCATTTATTGGCAGGCAGCATGCCCCTGTTAATAAATATTATCTTGCTTGGAGATCTGCCTCAGTTTACCCTTTTGTTAATATCTCAAACTCGACATTCTGAGGCTGGATTTGAACTTAGGTCTTCCTGAGTCTAGGCCAAGAGCTCTGTCTACCATGCCAGCTAGCTGCCTCTTATAAAACCTCAATTTAGGCCTCTTCTTGGAGAGGAAGAGAAATAAACTTTGGCCTCTCTGTGGACAAGCAGAGGCAAGCAGAGTGACTGACTCCACATTTCTTAAGGCACATGATGCCCAAATGTGCTTTAATCTGCAGAAATATATAGGACACAGACAGTCCCGAGACATATGCACATATTGCAGTCTGATCACCAACCTGTGTTGAAGGAAATGAAATCTGTTTAACTTTGTGCTTGGAGCAGGATTATTCCCAGCAGAAAACTTATCTAAATGGAGCACCCACTTGGCAAGAGGAAAAAGAGAAACACGATTCTAGAGAAGGGACTTTTTCCGCTTGAAGCTACTCTTAACTGGGCAGATGGGTGGCACAGTGAATAGAGCGCAGGGTCTGGAATCGGGAAGACTCACTTTCGTGAGTTCAAATCTGGCCTCAGACATTTACTAGCTGTGTGGCCCTGGGCAAGTCACTTAATTTTGTTTGCCTCAGTTTCCTCATCTGTAGAATGAGGTGCAGAAGGAAATGGCAAACCACTCCAGTATCTTTGCCAAGAAAACTCCAAATGGGGTCATGATGAGTCAAACACACTGAACAACAATTTTAACTGGTCTCTTAGTTTAAGACACAAACCCACTTAGGTCTTCCAGACTCTGTGGTTGTTTTTTTCTCCCAAATGTCATGCTGCCTTTCTTTGTTTCCACTAGTAAACACACACACACAAAAAGCATAGAAAAGAACCTAAGGGGTTATAATATAATACAACAAACACTTATTAAGTATTGAGAGGGAGCTTTGTTCCACAAGGGACCACAGAAGGAAATGCTGGTCTTAAGCCAGAAGTAGTGGTAGCAGAAATAGAAGATAGTTGAGTGGATCCCTGGAATCTTTGGAAGAGTCTGATGAGACCTCAAAATGTGCTAACACAATCAGGGAGTCTCCTCCCTTTCCCCACACTCCATTCGCTCTTTTCCCAAGCCCAGGAGCTGTAGCTAGGGGAGTCCGTGCTCCCTGGGGTAGGTATGGACAAAGGCGTTTCTGGTGTCTGAGTGTTGAATGCATTTCCTCAAAGCAACCTCATGAGGCATATTGGGGGTGGGCTCGGTTCTACCTCTGCCATCTCAGTTAAGTAAGTTAAATAGACTTTTTTTTGGGACTGGCTTCCAGTCATCATGGATAACAACAACATTTCTATGGACACATGCATTCACGGTTGCAAATGATCAACTTAAAACTGAACTTTTGTAACAATAACCCTTTTGTAAGCTGGGGATAGGGCATGCATGGTCTGTACTTCAATAGAAACTTTCTGCATTTCTCCACATTGACGCTAGAGGGCAGGCTTAGCCCACATTTGAGTGGCACCAGTTCCGCCTCTGGGAAAAATGATCCAGCCTTATACACAGCCTCAGAAGGTGCAGAAGCTA